GCTCATTTTGAACGGATAAAGAAGAACCTCTAGGTTAAATTCTCCCCTTGTAAGGAGTGGAGTGATGGCGTACGTGACGTGGGGGAACTGTTTGGCGAGAACGAAAAGCACAACAGAGGAAGGCATTTTTCCAAGAGCACCGACAGCGCTATCAAAACCTGTAAGATCTTGGAATTTTCTCTTAATTTTTTTCGAAAGTCAACACCTCGGACGAGATAGCGTTCGCAATGGGTGAGACAGTAGCGGAAATGGTTAGAAACAACTCCTCTCCTTCACTGATCCCTTACCCAGAGGAATTTAAGATCCCTGCGGTGAACCTAATAAGAGAAAAACTCAAGGCGATTCAAAATGATTCTAGGGACATTACCAAAAAGATTTTTGGGACTAGAAGATAAGAATAAAATCGTGTGCAGAGAGGTTCAAGCATAAAAACCAAGAGGTGATTGCCGGTACATTGGTTTTTATTCGAACGTACAATTTTGCAACGCGAGGTCCGGTAGTTACAGAATTCTACAATATCAGTTTCGGATTATCGCGACACTAGGGAAGTAATAAACAGTTAACATGATCTTTGTGTATTCGCGTTTTCGTCACATAAAGGAGAGCCGAAGACCCGGTTAAGGTCAAGCTAATTAAGCGCGCCAGTATTACCATAGCTATTGTTAAAAATTCAGTATATTTGTTTGCTGCCCGTGAAACAAGAGAGAAGATTGAACTATATCTTCGTGGTCATAAAAAGTGCAAAGTTGTTTGGGATAGTATAAGACTCACCGAAGAAAATGATCGCATGACAAAGTTCCAAGTTGCAGCTCCGTTGTCTGTGTTTTTATATGGCTGTAAAATTAAACGTCTGACTCTAAGAAACACATCGTAAACTATACAGGGTGTTTTTTTGGGAGCTTTAGTTAAAAGTTTCTGGGAAAGTAAAATAGGTAGGTTTTTGAAAATTTGTACTTAGGAGTTACTCTGAAGGACGAATCGATGTAAAATATTTTCAAAATGGCCGCACTTCCGGAAACACCGGAAGTAGATAGTAACTTCGTTATTTTAAATGGCAACCCCTATTTTTTATTGCATTTTTGGATTCTACGTGAAATTTCAGTTCTTTTGATACCCATATGTCGATATCTGCCATTTATGGTTTTTAAGTTATTTTGACTTTAAGAAAAAAAATGGCGGATGCAGATGGTACCTTGATAATTGATTACTTGAAAAAGGTTATAGTCATGGCAACCCATTTTTATCAGTGCATAGAGAATGAATAGGGCTTTCTTTTAGTGCACTTAAAAAAAGTTAAGTTGCGTACGACCGCCCCTATGGATATCCAACTTTATGAAACTTCAAAAACTAAAAACTCAGTTTTTTTAAATGGAATGACCATGTTCTTACTACTCCATGAGATAGAGAATCGAAATGGGCATATTTTGACAATACATGTTCCTATAGCTATCTTTAACAGTTTCTGACTTATTCCCATTTTATTGAATTGACACTATTTTTTTCGGATTTTCTTTTTAGTAGTCGGCCATGATTCTATAACAATTGAATTTTAAACAAATCTAGTGACACTAATCCATCACCCACTGTTATAGGTTAACATAAGTTTTTCAAAAATCGAAAAATGACTCGCAGTGGTTTCACCTATTTTGGAATTTAATTGTTATTTATGGTGAAATGGGCAGAATCGCGGCGCGTGCTTTCCTTACATTCATTCGAAAACTGGAACGAAATTGTATGAATTTTGGAAATTTTGTACCCCTAATGCACTACAAACCGTTGAAGCATAAGTGATACAAAGCTCTACAAGAGAATATTTAAGAAAATGAATTGAATTGCAAATGCAAGATTAACATATTAAATTCAATGCAAAATATAAAAAACTTCGTTGAAACATTTTTGGTATGGAATTGTTGCTAGAACAGATATCGCATTACCTCTCTTAATTTCCAGACTTATACGTTGTTTAAGAAATTCAGTTGAACGACTCTGTTTAGATTTTTCAAAAATTTTCCGTCCTATATCCTTAATAAATGAGTTATTTATTAATGAATTATTTAGACTAGAACTAGAATCAATGGTATTAAAGAATCCATTCCTTGATTTGTTTAAAATTCGATTGTTATAAAATCATGGCCAACTACTAAAAAGAAAATGCGAAAAAAATGGCATCAATTCCGAGATCAATTCAATGAAATGGGAATAAATCAGAAACTGTTAAAGATAGCTATAGGAACATGTAATATCAAAATATGCCAATTTCGATTCTCTATCTCATGCAATATTAAGAACATGGTCATTCCATTTAAAAAACTGAGTTTATAGACTTTGAAGTTTCTTAAATTTGGATCTCCATAGGTGCGGTTGTACGCAACTTAACTTTGTTTTAAGTACAGTAAAAGAAAGCCCTATTCATTCTCTATGCACTGATAAAAATGGGTTGCCATGACTATAACCTTTTTCAAGTAATCAATTATCAAGGTACCATCTGCATCCGCCATTTTTTTTCTTAAAGTCAAAATAACTTAAAAACCATAAATGGCAGATATCGACATATGGGTATCAAAAGAACTGAAATTTCACGTAGAATCCAAAAATGCAATAAAAAATAGGGGTTGCCATTTAAAATAACGAAGTTACTATCTACTTCCGGTGTTTCCGGAAGTGCGGCCATTTTGAAAATATTTTACATCGATTCGGCCTTCAGAGTAACCCCTAAGTACAAATTTTCAAAAACCTACCTATTTTACTTTTCCAGAAACTTTTAACTAAAGCTCCCAAAAAAACACCCTGTATTTGATTCCAGTAAAAAAAAAAACTGAGTAAAAAAATTTTTTATTTGTACGTTCTTAAAGAGATCGACCAGTGGGAATTTGAAGCCGTTCTGGTATTACATGTATTATTTTCCCATTTTGAAACTCCCTAGAACTAGATTTGTTAGATAATAAAATAAATCGATTGGTTCAAACTTCGCATTGTAAGAACACCCATAGTGGACGAGCGAATTTAACTTAAATCTTTATCACTTCGGCATTGATGTTGAAACTTTTATCAAATCAATTCATTTTGCTTATATAGCAAACAAGGAATTATAGAGAGTTCTCCAATAACCATAATAAATATACTATACTGATTTTGTCCTTCAATCGTTCTGTTTGTCGGCAAAAACAGGTCTGATTCTGTTAAAGGGAATTATTCCTACTGAACAGAGCCGATTTGATTTTAATGTTTGTTTTGTTTAACCGAGCTGTTTCTGATAAACAAAACTCGAAACCGAATCCAATGAACTTGGATCATTCTCAGATCTCAAGTTCAAAATGCGTTAATAACGGTATACGTTACTAAACACAACATATTTCCCTGAAAGGCTGCACCACAGCCGCGTTCATTGCTTGTCACCTTGATGGTGATCTGATGGCGCCTCTATGTCGCTCTAGAAAATTCGCTACAATATAAACAAAAAATACTAACAGGGCGATATTGCACACAATTTATCTTTTTTCTTACCTATCAATCAAATATCTGCAAGTTAGGTCATTTTTGAAACTTCTAAATAAATTGGTTGGGTAATACTAACAAATCTAACGGTATCCTTTGTTACTCAAAGCTGACTCGGTTTTTCTTAATTTGTAAGGTTGATGGGGGGTTGTATTTAAGTGCTTTTCGCCACTATTGTCTGTCCTGGTATGTCCATGGCCACTCTTCGTCTCCCCCGTGGGGTTAGGAGCTCCACCTTCGTTTGGGGGGGGGGGGCAATTGTAATTTTTTGTTCTCACACTCGATGACAGTTTGTATTGCTCACAGGAGGTTTCCCACTAAAACTGGCTTTGTTGTAAATACAAATGTGAAGGTGATTTTTGGTGGTGGATAACTTCACTTGGTCGGGAACTTTAAAAACGTCATAGAAAGGCCGCACTTCGCGATTACTGCGCGAAACTTGACTTGAACTCTAAAATTCACTTTTAGAAGGACGTATTAAAAACTCTTAGAGCTCAATATAGATTTTCTTGTACCAGAACTTTACAAACAAGACTGACTGTCGTTCACAAAAAAAATGCTAACCCAAAAAGTCCTGTTTTTCTTCTGCCATGCCTATTTCACGACCCTTCTCGTCTTGTAACTTAGATTCTTCTTTATCATTTTTTTAACGTTAGAAGATCATATCCACTAGAAAAGAAGGCCAGCTCTCCTTGTCGTCTATTTTTAATATGCGTCTTCGATGATCTAACACCTGCTTATCTCCAAATTAATTAGCTTTTACGAAGCGATAACGAACTTCTTATCGCATGACCGGATTTAAAATTTGTAGGAAACTATGAACGCAATTACTTTCAGCTGTCACGTAATATGTTTTTTAATGTCAAAAAACCCATACATTTTAATGCTAAACGATGGCAGTCTGATCAGGAGAATTATTGAAATTATTGATCACGTTTGGCGCATTGAAAACATCTACCATCATCGACTTATGATGCATCCAATTCTTCATATCATCTTTATATCTATGATATTCGGGAGTTTCAATATTTTCGGAATACTTTTTTTTCCAATTATGTAGTTTCCCTAGATCACTCAGTCCAATGAGACTTTTGCAATTATTCCGTTTCCTGTAGCTCTTATACATTTTTTTATCAATTTTGCAGATCCGTCAGCACTATTTGAATCCTTGGAGTTTTTCGGATCCTTCAAAACTCCTTTGATTCTTACTTCCTGAAATCCTTCCAGTATAACACATTTTTCGAATTCGTCATACTGTTCAAAGCGAGGTTCAAAGCCTTTAGGATTTAAAGTCTACTCGTCTGGAACTTGAAACAATGCGGACGATTGGGATTCTTCAGATTATGGGAACTTTCTTGATCTGTAACTCATCGTTTTTCCTCAATTACGCACGTGTGGAGGAAATATCGAATCATCGATTTGGGAAAAATTGATTTCTGGGTTCGAACAGGGGGCAGGCAATACACCGAAGTTCGAAGAATGGCAAAAGGAATAAAAAAAAGAACAGTAATTAAGTTCCATTTTATTTGCGACATGTCTTATTCGTACAAATAGTTCCTCGACCTCCAACGCACTCACAAATGTTACACCCTCTTTTCGTTACAGTCCCATCTTTACAGTTTAGGAGTTGCTCAAACTCCCTCGAAAAGCTGCAAGCACCCGCCCCCTCAGACACCAATTTCCAAAGCGATAGATACTCACCATGGATAGCTGGAGCAACCCAGATCGCCGTACGGATCGCAAAAGCAGGTGTTGCAGTCGTTCTCCAAATAATAGACGCCCTGCTCGCATTCTACAAATCGAACAAGGAATAAGAACGTCACGAGGCGGGATACTTACTAAATTTGGACTCGACGCCCAGGAAAACGACAAATAAAACGACAAGCTTGAGGCAGCGCATTTTCGTGAACAATTTAGATGAAACTAAAATTATTGTCGTAAACAGCGGGGCAAGACGCCGCGCAAAGATCATTTCGGCGATGATCTTTTGACCTTGCACCAGTTCATCAACATCGTTTTACCAGTTCAAGTGGAGGTTAGATTTAAATCGAACATGAGTTTCCAATGCAGTATCACCTGCGTTCGTTTCAGGTTCTTATTTTGAAACGTTTTTCAACTCACTCAAATAATTAAAAGTCCATTTAACGTTTCGTATTTTTGAGATGTTCTGCACGATCTGCAGGCCTGCAATCTATGATGCTGCGATGTAGCACACCAAAGAGCAGTAGGTCACTGTGGGTTGAACGATCAGCGCCAAAGTGCGCGTTATGATCAGAACCAATAACTAGGTTTGTATGCAATTTTGCTGTAAGAGATAAGGCCCCCCTGCGGTGAATGCACCCTTGGGAGCGTTTTGGATTGGGAGATTCTCACACCTGAATGACTTTAAAGATCGTCGCCATGGATCAACCTCCCTAGTTAGCGACCGTGGCGACGACTGCGTGTCACTGGAGTGCATTATGGCTGCATTTATTTATTATTTACTATTTATTATTTATTATTTATTATTTATTATTTATTATTTATTATTTATTATTTATTATTTATTATTTATTATTTATTATTTATTATTTATTTATTATTTACTATTTATTATTTATTATTTATTATTTATTATTTATTATTTATTATTTATTATTTATTATTTATTATTTATTATTTATTATTTATTATTTATTTCATAATCATTGTCGCGCTGAATTCAGTTTCTGAATTTTTTAATTTCTGCATATCATCTTTCATCTGTCATTCGTCATCCGTCATCTGTCATCTGTCACCTGTCATCTGTCACCTATCGCCTGTTACCTGTCACCTGTCGCCTGTCATCTTTCGCTCAATGACAGAGTGACCCGCATAATGCCTTTTAGAGATGCCCCTGCTATGTAGCCCAATGCTCTACCACTAAATCATTGCCGCGCTGAATGGCCAGATTAAGTTTCTGAATTTTTCAATTTCTAAAGTATTCACAAGTTGCATAGCTTCCGTACACCAGGGTCCATCTATCATCTTTCAGCTGTCATCTGTCATCTGTCATTCGTTATCCGTCATTCGTCATCCGTCATCCGTCATATGGCATAATGTCATCTGTCAACTGCCATCTACCATCTGTCATCTGTCATCTGAAATCTGTCAGCTGTCATCTGTCATCTGTCATCTGCCACCTGTCACCTATCACCTGTTACCTGTCACCTGTCATCTTTCGCCCAATGACAGAGTGACTCGCATAATGCCTTTTAGAGGTGCCCATGTAGCCCAACGCTCTACCACTAAGTCGCACAGTCGGTTGACGAAATGGCAGGATTCCGCAATTTTCTACGTCAAAACATGCTGACATTACCATGGACATCACCCTATCATGGTTTTTTTCTAAAATCCATTTCATATAATTTCCATGGCCGTAAACCTGGAAAAGATCGGGGTTGTCCCATTTACGAATAGCCGATGACGTTAACTGTTTCTCACCGTGTAGGCACTTTTGGACCTAGAGCCGCCACAGTTAGCTGTGAAGGCAGAGGATCGTAAGGCTTCCCATAAAGCTAAACGAATTGGGGCGAGCGGAAGGATCAAGGCAGCACTGAGCACGGGCGGATCTGGGAGAAAACGAGGGACAAGCCACTGTGGCAGTCTGGTGTAAAACCTCTAGGAATTCTTATGGAATTTTTATGGAATTTTTATGGCATTCTTATAGAATTCTTATGGAATTCATTTGGAATTCTTATGGAATTCATGGAGTTTTTGTGGAATTCATGAAATTCTTGTGGATTTCTGGTGGAATTCTTGTGGAATTCATGGAATTCTTTTGGAATTCATGGAATTCATTTGGCATTCTCAGGGATTTATAAACCTTTTAACAAGTTATGGTTTAGATTGTCGCGGAGGGAGGTAACCATCAGGTTCGCTCCACTCCTCGCATCAGCTTCTCCCTTGGTCAACATAGCAACGTGTTTCAGGTAGAGATGTTAGCCATCATGACCTGTGCACAGAGGAACCTCCGAAGGAGTTACCGTAATAAGCGACAGTCAGGCGGCACAGCTGACGGTCCAGTAAGCAGACAGAGGTTCCGTTCGGTTTTCTAAGCTTCTAGATTAGTGATATTTTCTGTGGCGAGGTAGATGAAACTACCAGGTTGTCTGCTTGTCACTGTGACGCCCGCTTTGATCAGAGACATGCATCAGCTTTTTGACAACTGTTATCTGAAACCGGGGAGGGTGAAGCAAGTTAGACTCAACAGAGTCCTATCCTCTATTCAGAGGAACGGGTTCTTTGCCATTGCGGATTGTTGCGAAGGAAAGGGTGTTGGCACAATGGGTCTTTGGTGTGCGTAAATGGCGTCTAGTCGGGTCCCCTTATGAATAAAATAAAACAATATGCGATATGTTTGTCTTTGGTAAAAGTGGTGACCAATTAAAATAATAAATCTCTAAAATAATAGATCTCTAAAACGTACTACACAATACCATTGAATATCCAACTCATCGATATTCAATGACAATACACATTTCTGAAAACATCGAGCGTGGAACGATCCGTTGCTGTCCATGTGGAAACCACCGGTAGTCACCCTGAATAACGATGCCTTGAAAACGTCAACCTATTGCAGCGAACCTCGAAAAGGAAAAGGGAATTGGCCACGGCTATCCGGGGGAAACGAGTCCAGGAAACAATCACCGAGGTTTGACAAAGCTTTTGAGTGCCAGGCGTGCACAAGTCACGCCAAAAAGTAAATAACAATATATACTAAAAATAAAATAGGAATACAAGCTTTCCTCGGACATCTTTGTCTTGGCAAAGAATCTACATACAAACAGAGGATATTAAATTCATAAAACAGTAAGTAAATTATCAATTCTGCGCAAGGATACACTTAACTAGGTGGCTTTTAAATCTAACCTCGACTGCAGATACAAGGATCAACAAATTCCTTAACTGAAATATTTATTTAATTTATTTATTATCCCTTGCGTTAACAGTAACGACAAAAAAAACATGATACATCTGCAACTTTTATATTCAAAATTTTAATTGTAGAGCAATAATTCGTAACCAAGGTAAACGGCAAGATAAAGTAACGATAAAAGCGATTACCAACAGGTATAGTGTAATAGATCAGCCCCAGCTAATCGACAGATAGCACTCATCAATTCGTTGGCGAGTGTTTGCATTTGATCTAGAACACGGTACTTTCTTAATACGATCACGCCAAAGAAAAATGTACCTATCCAAAAACTACATCAAAATAACTAAATTCCAATTAATTCAAACCACCCTATTAATAAATGGGTTTCGGATTGCGATAAAATAGGTAATTAAATTAGAACACCTAAAAAGAAACTTATTAACAAAGAGGAATTGTATGAAAATAGTTTTACATAAAGAAGATACATCCACAGGCCCATTCGCGTAAAGACGCTTAGATAAATAATTTAAACAAGCGTGATGGTTCTAGAAATTGTCCACTTCCGAAATCACCCTCTTTTTGCAAAAATCAGACCTTTAATTTCAACAAAAGAAACAAAAGTAAACATTTTCTCAATACTAATGGGACCAACTACTCCAAACACACTAGGAGCGCATTCAGTCTTAGTAACGCTGATATTGATATATGCTATATGCAAAAAAAAATCATATACAAGCAAAAACGTACAAAAAGTCGTACGTTTTCGTCAATAATTGAGTAATTATTTGCTAGAAAAATTAGTTTCGCGATATAAACTCGACAACCGCCCCGTAACCTACTTGACTCCGCCATAATTTTAAACACGTACATAAATCAAGCTTCTTGTTGTCGTTCTTAATGCACCTACGGGTATACTATCTCCACTGTTATAAATGCACTTTATGTGTAACTCGTGAAGTCTATTGTACTGTTTTCTGCACATTAAACAACATCAGTGTACGACGAAACAGGAAAAACCTCTAACAAATCGCTTTTCGTTTTTTTTTAAGTTTCGACGGATTGAGTTAATTAATTTTACGAAGCGCTCAATTAATTAACTGCCTTTGTGTAAAATGCGATTAATTCTTTCGACGAGATTTAATACAATTCGCGTTAGCTGTTCCCAAAGCAAAGTCCAATTACAAAAATGTGACATTAAACAGAGGAATCATTTTGTACAGGTCTTATTGACGCTAATCGAGTGCACTAAGATTAACCATACAATAAGAGTTGCAAACCTACTGGGCACAGAGAAATAGCAACTCGAATTATGTTTCGTTATTTGGCGGTAGTCCAAAAACTGGTAGATTTAGCCCTCAGCCATCGCTGGATACCACGGTTACTAATTAAAAACCTTTTTATGAGCTCGGCGAGTACATAAGTAAAAATTGGGTGGGAGAATGGGATTCTTAACCAACTTCGAGGCAAATCTACGTACTGTAAGCGCATTCATTTTCTATGAAACAAGAAAATTTCGTCGTGTAATGAACGCTAATGAACGGCGGATGTACTTTCAGCCGTGACTGGTGAAGTGTTACCTCTTAAAGCGTAACCGAACAAATTCGTTTCGTAGTATTACTGGATTAGCATGCTCTCGATTTAAATAAATTGTTACCACGAAAGCGTTAAGGTCGAAGATACAAAACAATTCATTGCGCTATATTTGAAGTGACAAGTTACGCCAATAAAAACTGTACACTGCTCTTGCGTATACGGGGTGTAATTTCACCTACACCAAAGGGCAACTGGTAAAAAGTTTAGACAATTAATTCCTGCTTTTGTTTTCTGTCAAAACACTAAGTTATAAGGGTAATTTAGGACCTAACCGTACTGCGTAACTTTGCTAATTTTTCGAGATTCACTTGGAACGATTAAAAAAATTTTACCTGACCAAGCAAAAGGCCCAATATTATTGTACAAAGCGTTCCACCACCCCATTTTCCAAGCTGCTGTTACCCTTTCAAAGGAGATAATCGACTGTCGACTGGGCAAAATTTTGGCTCATCGATAGATGTGTCATTTCAAATTTTTTGCATTGTTTTATTTATTTTATTTTATTTTTAAAGTTATTCTAACATTCCCGAAGAGGTCGGCCCACGGGAATTTATCGCGTGAACAAGTTTGTCCTTTTTTTATGAATGATCGAGTGCCAGTATGAGTGTAACAGATCAAAAAGCCCTAAAACGCCTTTGATTCTTCGATTACTACGGACTTATTCTCTTCGCACCCCTTGGTAGGATTCATTGGTACTCCCTCACTGGAAAAAAAAAATCTAAAATAGTGCGGTGTGAAGGGTATCAACAAGTTTTGGGAGTTATAGATATATCGCTCACTTAGAAAGTGTAGAACTTGTTGTTATTCTGGGAATAAACAATGTGGAATATCAAAAGATATTAGATATTTAAAAAATTCGGGAACATGTCAAAAAGAAAGTCGTGGAACTGAACATGAAACTCCAAAAAATGTACTGGCTCCTGGGAAGATACTCCGAGCTCTCAACGTACAATAAGGTATTACTGTATAAACAGGTAATACGACCAGTGTGGACATATGGGATCCAGATATGGGGCTGTGCTAAAAAGAACCACATCGATAAAATCCAAACGTTTCAGAATAAAGTGCTGCGCAATATAGCCAATGCACCTAAGTACGTTCGAGCAACCGACCTGCACCGTGACCTCGGAGTGGAGATGGTTAGCGACATCATTAAGAGACATGCTGTCTCACATGCAAATAGAATAAAACAACACATCAATGAAGAGGCGTCCAGGCTCATGATGTCTCGTTTTACCCTTAGGCGGCTCAAGAGGACGAAACCGTTCGAGCTGACATAAATTCAAAAACAACTAAGGACGTCCATTGGGACAAACTTAGCTATCACGCGCGTAGGAATCGTAAAAGACAGACACACAATCGTTCTATTCCTAGGAAATAGTTTCTGTTATATGAAAAAAAAAAAAAAATTCGGAAAATCGTAAGGACAAGCACGAGCTGTATTGGACAAAGAGAGGAATACAGAAGAACGCTGTACGAACGGGAAGAGAAGAATACAGACACATCTGGGAAGGGAAAAATTAATGGAAATTCAACAACATGACAATACTTAAAAAAGAGAGAAAGAGACGCAGACAAGGGTGGGAAAAGGAATATACGGGATACAGTACTGCGATAGAAAAAGAAAGAAATAAGAGGTGAATGAGCAACAGGGACGTACAAAAACATTGAAAGAAAGAAAGATAAAGACAGAAACCATGTTAAAGAATTAAGGAAATCAAAAACAAAAAAAATTTTTTAAGTTACAAAATAAAAAGGGAAAGCATATAGAAAAATGAGAAACCTCGACTCTGTGACTGAGAGAGAAAATTGGCCACAAGTGATGGACACGTGAAAAACCGGCGAAGAAAAGGAAACTGAAAGAGAAAACCGGAGAACATTTTGATACAGGGTCGAAAAATCAGGCATAATCAGGAGATATGTAAAGGAACAAGGTCTGAAAGGAAGAAGCGTGAAGAAAGAATGGAAGGAATCTTAAGGGACGGGCGGGCCAAAATCAAGCGTGCTAGAATCGTGAATGGTAGACCAAATAGGGAGTAAAAGAAATAGATTAGAAGAACATACGAAAACAGCGTGGAGGAAGAGTTTTTAAGGAGGGGGATAAAAAGAAACATAAAAAATACGTGAAAGAGACGTTACTGCAGGAAGTGCAAACAACACACGGTGAACAGCTCATGTAAATGAGTAACGAAGAAAGCTCCAAGAAGATATGAAGTATACGCGAACCAAGTAGATGTGAAAGAAAGAATGAAGAAAGCAGTACAAATGTTAGGAATCTTTATCCCCAATTAAATTAGTGCATAAAATTCCATTCCTCGACATCGAGTTGGCTTAAATAGCCAACATTTGAGGCAAATCCAGGGTTCCAGATAAAACAATCACCCCGTATAACGCTCTGCTACTTAGAGGCATTCTTCGATGATTTACCCAAAGTGGGATATACGTCACACACATTTCCCAATATCATTTTGTTATTAATTCTATCCAAACCTAATCCTATGCGTCCTCAACTATACGTCAAAATTTTCCACCGTAGTTTGCCATCATGGAGCAAATATTATCAGTGCCTCATCAAACAGCGCTTTGAAAAACATTGTATGATAATGTACTTTTTATTGACTCAGTTTGGTCGTCACCTTAATCTGACTATCAAATCACGTCACAGATCTGTGGGATATAAATACCGAGCATGAATACATGCAACCATATCATCAAGTCTGAAGAATGAAGCTGTTCCTGGTACTCTTCTCGACCATTGCTGCCTTTTACATTTCGGCTGGCCAAGATGAGGGTGAATTTGGTAAGACTAACTTATAAGTTTATTGATATTTACGGACGTGTTGATAGTGTGCCAAGATAGAGCAGTCGTGTACTTGAAAAATTTCTGCAATGTATGTCACTGCAATAACGGTATCTTAAAATGCAGCAGAAATAGATGGTAAGTACGTAGTCCTGTAATAAATATCGTTCATCTAAGCGTTTTTTCGCAGTCCATGGACTCAGTATGTTAAAAATTGTACGGCCGGGAATGAGCCGTCGTACAAACGCATTACTTGTAAGTGCGTTCAGGATTTAGGATTAATTTGCGCCAAACTCAAATACCCAGCGGAAACGACACCCGGTGGCGTTGGCGAACCCTCAACAACGACACTTGGTAACACTGAAGTACACTCATCAACGACACCTGGTAACGTTGAAGGACACTCAACAACGACACTTGGTAACACTGAAGTACACTCATCAACGACACCTGGTAACGTTGAAGGGCACTCAACAACGACACTTGGTAACACTGAAGTACACTCATCAACGACACCTGGTAACGTTGAAGGACACTCAACAACGACACCGAGTGATGAGGTAGCCCCATAGGGTACTTTCCAGATTTGTTGTTGTATATTAATTGTAATCTATGGTGTAGGTGTAGACAATAAAAACCCTGGGCTTTACCATTTTACCATAGCATGAGTGGAGTGGAGGTTCATCAAGTAAGCAGTGTACAACTAATTGTATTTGGTGTTTTCCATAAGAAAGCTTTAGTGAGGTAGGCAACACACATTACTGATAACGCCCCCGTAAGTAGTGTGAGTATTACGGTTGCTCGGTTATGATTATTTGAGAACGTAGTCAGACTGACTGACGGCGACGGACACTATCTTTTTGTGGACGCTGGGAGGAGGATTAACCACCTCTATGACTAACACAGTCGTTTTATTGCTCCGAATCCCGTCAGACTTTTCTGACTTATGGAATATCGAAACCACTAGCGTAAAAGGTTCAATAGACAAGAGGTTAGGGGCGGAGAGCGACACCGATGCTGGTATTTTTTTTTAAAAGACGGTTCAAAAGGAAGATAATGGAAGGTAGTACTCACTTGGAATGGACTAGAGGAGTATTTCCCCACAAATCGTCCAGAAAGTCAGAGGAATTAAGGACGCTATTCCTTCAGACACCGTTATGGAAGAAGGAAGCCTATTGGAAGAAAATCTGGCGCTTAAAAAACAACTGGAAATGAAAAGCCAAACTCATTTTTATTAAAACCCGAGAAAATCGAATCCATTCCTGAGAACCCTCCATCCATTGACGAAGGTATTCCCCGTCCTCCTTAATCTACCACGAAGGAGACATGCAATTGCAAATCTAAAAACATACCAACCATCGACACACAATCAGAATTGACGTATCGGGCTCTCGTTACAGTGCCTCTTTGGAGTTTTCAAAATAATTAGCACGAACCTTGACCTAACCCACCAACCCTTCTACTTAAAAGAATGACAGTTGCGCAAAAACTTTAAATAACTAACCTATAGAAGATAAAAAAAACTGAATATTGTAACGTTATTTATAAATTCGGGTTCGATTTATATCAATGTTTATTAAACAAAACTAAAACACTATAAAAACTGTACAATTTATATCGATTATTTATATCACACACTTCGCAATTTATATTTCCGCGCTCGATGTTTCATTCGTACTCGATCTCGTTCGGTAGTAGACTGCCGCGATGTTCGGTCCGCAACCATTTATACACGCAAGCAATGTAAGTCCAGAACATTCGCGTACAGTCTCGAATATTCCTACACAAATCCCACTATCGCGCGCGTAGAAAATTCCAGAGCACCAAAGGCGACGTCATGTCTGGAGCGTTTCCGTTACAATATACACACTCCCTGCTATATACCGTATTTCATCTTCAAAATGGATTTGTAATAATATGATCCCTTTTCATCTCTTTCTTCTTTTTCAAATTTCTCTATTTATCATTTTTTCAACCTACTCTTGTTCAACTGATTCTTCTGAAGCCCTTCCAAATTTTCTTCAGTTCTTTACAATCATTTTTTTTTCATTTCTTCCTTTGTATAACGTTAATTGTGTCTCTAACGCAAATTTTCGTTCTAACCCCTCTCCTAACTTCTATGTCTATCTGACCCTGTCATATAATATCTGATAACGCATTGGACCTCTCAACGCCTCCATTTTAGTTAATTTTGTTTGATCGGTTGCTTTCAATATCGGTAATTTTTTCTTGTTGTGCTTTAAGTTGGGCTTCTTCGTTCTGTATTTCTCGGTCTAATCTGTTGTTTGTAATGTTGTAATGCTGATTTCCTTTGATTTTGCGAATACCGTTTCTCAAAAGTGGCGATTTGAAGCTATTGGTCCTCTTTCTTCTTCATGTTCTCCTGTTTGTTTCTCTGAAGTTTTGAGGTTAACTCTTGTGCCGTAATAAGATGTGATTTGGATAACTTTTCTTTTGATTCTTCTCTTATGTAAACTCGTTTCATTCTTCTGTGCTGATTTCTACTGCTTGCTGTCCTACTCCCTATAACTTCCCCATAATGACTGGGTGAGCCCAATATTATTTTTCATCCATCTTCAATTTCTTCTTTAAATTGTTGTATTTTTTCAATTATCTGCTTAATTTTTCTTTTTCTTTAAAAATTACTTTGGGTTTCTTCAATATTTCTTCTACATTCCCCTGTTCTTCGATTTTTTCTGTTGCTACCCTTTTTCTAATTTGGTCAAGATAGCATTCTATAAAGTTGATCAATAATTGTGTTTGCTCCTGAGTTTTTGATATTTTCCGAGGAACTAGTAGAGCTCGCCTGGCACCTGGCTCGGTAGTTCTCGATCCTTTAACTCAAATTCTTCCAACATATCCGATCCGTTGCATTTGTTGGTTTATTTAAATCTTTCCAAATCTTGATTCGACACCTTTATGATTTTTTCTTATTAAAAAACTCACGATTTTTAGGTTTCTTCGATCCATCAAGTTCCTAAAATCCTTTCCGTTGTTTTTTTCTGGCATTCTTCCAATTTTAAAAGCCTTTTTGTGTCTTGAAATTGTTCAAATCCGTTAGTTTCGTGAGATTTCGCCTGTCTTCGGAGTGATTAGCGTCAATAGAACGCTTTCTTTACTTTTTCCAATACCTCAATTTTTCTAATCTCTAATTCTTATGAGTGTTGCCTCCATTATCAACTAAGACCACCTTGGCATAAAGAAAGCTGGTGCCGTATAGATCCAGTAAACTAATTTCTTCAATCTTGGCGAATTTATTTACATATTTCGGACCTGTAACTTCATATATCAAAAACACGAACTTCGACCTAGGGGAATCATGAGGCAAGACAATTTCTGTGGGTTCAATGCAACTGCAGAAGAGGATGAATTAGAGGTTATTACCACCTGCACTAAACTTTACTCCATTACAGATGAGAAGATTCATTGGCGTAAATAAATTTTGAATTCAAAACACTTTCTTCGCCATCAAGGGGAAAACATTTTATACTGCTTTAGCAAATAGGCTTTTTAAGAGAAATATGATCATAAATTATTCGCTTGTGACAATATAAGCACTGAAACACATTTATCTTATTGCAAAATGTAGTGATAAAGCCACGACGTTATATCTAGCCTGTAACGCATTAATCTAGCACAGTGTTCAAGCTGAAATAATGAAGCTCTTCGTGGTACTCTTCTCAGCGGTTGCTGTCCTTGGTATTGCAGCTGGCCAAAATGAGGGTGAATTTGGTAAGACTACTGAACTTAATATCCACATCGCTGTCCTTGGTATTGCAGCTGGCCAAAATGAGGGTGAATTTGGTAAGACTACTGAACTTAATATCCACATCGATTCCTAGGGACGTTTTTATAGTGTGCCAAGATGGGGTTCCATACATAGAAGGTTTTTGCAATGAATGTTTTTGTAGTGGCGGTGACTGGCATGCACCGAAAAATGGTGGTAGGTACAAAGTCTACGATACCATGGTGCATTCAGCAAACGTTTTCTCGTAGTCCATGGTCTGCTGGTTCCAAAAACTGTACGGTTGGAAGGGAAATGCCGTTTAAATGCAATTACTGCCATTGCGTTAAGGGCTACGGTTTAATTTGTACAAACTACGAATGCACTGCGACAACTCGAATCCACTATGGTACGCGACCATAAGGTTGTTGGTCAACATTCACAGCATAGTGATTTAGTTTAGTACGATTAGGATTTATGTAATAAATGGTGGCGGCTTTGGGGTAAATTGATTCTGGATTTATAGAGGAGAGTGAGACTGACATTCGCCCAGACCTTATATTTGGAGCTAGCTATTACATTGCTCATTTGTGAGTCCGATGGTTAAATGACATTCATTCCCAAAAACACACTTCGCACTGAAAGGAAAGATTCAATTTTATTTATAAAAGAATCAAACGCAATGTGTAACGCATCACCGTCACGCACGCAATATGAATTATACCTTCATAAACACTCTGTATAATAAAATCAAAGCAAACTGCAATACGTTTAATATATTGCTAATTTTCAGGCACAGGCCTAAAATTTCCACGTCCAACTGCAATTAATCTTAACACCAAGTACGAGAAAAACAGCGCTTCAACATAAATTCCTCTAATTGGGTAAAATAATAATCGTTCATAAATACCTTCAATGTTCGTGCACTCGTATTTATCGTATAATCTCTCGTATAATGCAATTGGCCTGACCTCCTCGAAGCTAATCTACACGGACCGACTACAGAATTCTAGTAGGCGTGTTGTGGAAGTTTTTTAATTATCTAGTTTTCCTGGAAAATTCTACGAAAGTCTTCGGCCGCGCAACGGCAGCATTTTATCTAAATTGTAAAATTGTATACGTCGTTACAGTAGGTAACTTGTGTTGCATTGGCGGTCTAATATCGGGCGGCCGGTTACAGCGACACCGAAAACGCTTACACTATCGCTGCCAAAGGTTGGATGGAGTGTTTGTTAAAATAAAGTAACCCTCCACGTGTTTTATTTATACGGTGCGTGTTGTTAAATGTTAAATTAGAGAATGATTTACTCCAGTAAACTCCTGAAGGTTGGGAACACAAGGATGCTTTCCGTTGTCCCAACTCAGGGGTGTATATCACGGATTCTGGATTTCTACGACGGAATGTTGTAATGCAGCGATTCTCAACCTTTCTGTAATCGCGACCCCCGATTTTCTGGGTCTGATGACCGCGACCCCCTAGTACTTAATCTTATTGTTAATGCCATTGAGGAACCCAGTGAAATGCACTACACGCTAAACTAAATATTTTTTATTTATTGTTAGCGAGTTGAATACATACAACAGTAACAGTTATGTAATGCCCTTATACGGGGTGTCAATTTTAAAACTATGCAGTCGGTCATATTTTCCAAACTAAAGAAGATATTGAAAATCGCGCAAAACCTTTTCGGGGGTATCTAGAGTGAACCAGAATGACGTTATGAGTGACAGCCCCCTACCCCCTTAAGTCCCCAGCCCCCCTCTTCAAAAATCCTAAATGACAACCCCATACTTGTGACACATCGTTGGAAAGCTACTGAAAAATGCTTTCGAGTGGTTCCAATAAAGTCAATATTCATTAAGAAAATTTAACAAAAATTTAATAATTAACAAAAAAAACTAAATGTTGACATTGAGCGATTTATGTTGTTAT